AATCTATGCAGAAATAGAAGTACAATGATGTACACCTGAAATTTTTACAATGTTATAAACCAATGTTACTGCAATAAACAAAAAATTTTTAAAAAAAAGTTTTTTTGGGAAAAAAGTTATTAGTTTAGCTAAAAGTTAAGCATTTTTGTTTTAAAATGAAAAATTAACTAAAATGGCAAGCATAACAAAATATAAATCCTGACTTTTACATTTCTATTTAACAGCTTCAAGACTCAATCTGGAGCATTCATTGATCAACGGAGTAAGGCGAGAGAATTCTAATAAATACTAATACTATGGTGCCTTATTGCTGTGTTGCACACAATTGTCAACTTCAAGCTCTCACCCCCAGTCAGCAAATCTCTGTTGAAAGCTGAGCCTCGTGTCATCCTGTTCAGAGTTATTCAAAATGTATAATGCCTGACCTTCAAGAAATTTACATCTGAGAAAGCACTTACCTCGTACCCAACTTTCATTTCAGAAATGATCACTGAAGTGCGAAAGCTTAGTCAATTTAAAATTTCCTTTTACAGTGTTATTTCCTCCTGCACAGACCCAAGGGAGTAGAGAAACTTTAACAACCCGAACATCCTTCCCTACACGTAGGACTATAACCCTGAGTTTGAAAGAAAAGAACCACTAACAAACAGACCAGATTGCACGAGAGACTGATCAGATCGATGTTTTTAAGATACCAAGAGAAAGAGAGAAATATAACTGAGGGCTCATGAGCCTGAATGCAAAGAAAAACAGTTTCAAGATAATGAGAAGAAAAATAACTCAGACATGGGTTTAAATAATTCAGATCCTGGTGAGCTTTCTGTGCAGTTTTCACTATAAATTATTAGGATAATCTCTAAAACACAACTTCCAAATACAAAGGTGAGGAGTCCTCAGATTTAAGAGACCTTCAAGAAGGAGAGAAATGACTGGGGAAGTAATATACACTCCATTGCCAACAAGAAAATTAGTGAACACATCATCCCTGCACTCATGAAAGCATTCCTAGACAAAAATCTTCAGAACACACTCATGAGTTTGCTGGGGCTGACTTCTAGCAACAACAGTGCTGCAGAGGGCCGGCCCCGTGGCTTAGCAGTTAAGCGCGCGCGCTCCGCTGCTGGCGGCCCGGGTTCGGATCCCGGGCGCGCACCGACGCACCGCTTGTCCGGCCACGCTGAGGCTGCGTCCCACATACAGCAACTAGAAGGATGTGCAGCTATGACATACAACTATCTACTGGGGCTTTGGGGGAAAAATAAATAAATAAATGAAATTATAAAAAAAATAAAAATAAAAACAACAGTGCTGCAGAGTACCTGGTTAACTGGAGGACCGAGGCTCACATTGATTCATGAATAGCCATTGGTGAGAACATGAGTGGTGCACCTAGCGTGACAGCCACCTTCTTTCACATGTATGATTTATTTCTTATAAATATTTTCAGTTTTCTTCAAATCCTCATCCCCTCAAGCAAGCAGACAAAGAGGTGCAAAGGAGAAGCAGAGCCCCTCCAAAGGCCAGGGCGTGTTCTGGTTCTAGAACAAGACAGCCTGGCCTCACTGGCTGGGTGAGCTCCGGAGGTCACTCGAAGCCCTCTCAGATCCCAGTTTCTCTTTTGTACAAAACACAGAGGACAATTTTATATCTACATCATAGGCTGTCTGAAGATTAAGTGGGATAGCACGTGTAAAGCTCCTGGCACAGGACCTAGGCTAATGGAGCACATGAAAAACCAATAAAAGCTACTATGATTTCAAAGCTGATGCTGTCCTTGACATTTAAGACAATAACTTATGTATAAATCGTTAGCCAAGATGAAAATTTAGAAAAAGATTGTTAGTAACCTCAGAGAAGAAAAATCGTATTTTGTCTTCTTCCACTAAGAGACTTACTAATGCTCCTCTGCCTTCAGCTTAGAGAACACCAATCCTGTCTCATTACAGACGAGGAAGCCCATTCGTGCTTCACCCACGTCTCCTGAACAGAAGGTAACTAACATTTTGGGTTCCTGCAAGAGCCTTCCGTAGCAACGACGCAACAAAAGGCGCAAGAACAAAATGTTCCTCGGCCCTATGACATTCGGCCTCATTTGGATACTAGTCCCCAAGCAAGAATTATAGATTTGATGAACAGAAGGCTTTATTTTCAAAAGATGGGGAAGGCACAGTACCTCTAATCGTTGTATGCGTCCCTTGAAAAACATAAAGAGGGAAGAATTTGGATAAGCAGCTTCTTTTCTGAGAAGAATTTCCTTTGCTTCATCCAGGCCTGCTTTGTTATCACTGCCATCCAAGGCAAAGAACGGGCGGACCACAGTATGATACCAGAGTAGAGCTAGTCTAAGAGGAGAGGGAGAGAAATGGTGAGCAAAAGACTTTTCCTATAGTGTTCCTACTTTTTAAAAACTCAGTACGTGCTTGCCGAAGACACACTCCTTCCAAAGAGCTTACCATGCAGTCTTTGAAGAGGTAAAATCAGAGTATCTTTCCCCATTTTAATTTTATCAATATTTGGGAAACTGCAACTTTAACACAACATATAAATCAGCACATTCCCTTCCATCAGGTGAAAGAAGAATAAGGTGACAGAAACATCGAGCTCTTCTGAGGCTTCTAGATGGATCGCTGAGCATATGATTGACATGCTTCTCCGATTCTACACCTAACTCATCAATGCACAGATTAGAAACTGTAATTGGTTACCATGAATTTACCCCTCATAATATAGGCATTACTTTTTGCAAAAGGAAAATGTTTTCTCTTGTGTTCACAAAAGTTAGGATGTAAGCCTCAGAATCTGAATTTAAATATAGGAACCACAAGCAAAATTATACTAAATTGGATTAAAGTAAATGAGAAGACCAGATAAAGGGCCCTTTCTCTGGCCTTTGAGGATGCTCGATTTAAAAAACAAACAAACAAAGTGAATTACTTAAAATTCCCTCACTTCAAACTCATCCCTTTGAAGAAAAATGCCATGTTAAACTAGGTAAACAAAATAGATTCTTTGGGATCTGCTTTAATGAACAGACAAAAATGTTTAACCAACAAATATCTCTGTGTAAATGTGTGCTTCTAGCATGCTCATAAATTCAGTTCTCTTCTAAAGATCCGACCAATTTATACTATTAATGCAATTCATTCCTTTCTCAGATAATAATATTAAGATATAGACAAATTATCACAAGTTATAAATCTGTTAAGTCAACTTAATAAAGGACCACTGTTTGTGTCATTTAATGAGTTTGGGGAGGCACAAATATTTTTGAAATGAAAAATTAATGATCTTTTTAATAGTTACCAACAGATTAAGAGTTAACATCCAAATTCCTCAATACTCAATACAACAAGATAAGTAGAAATAGAGATTAGTAAGGTTCTCTGTGATACCAACATTTTTTGGAAAAATTTTGACAAGTGGTATAATGTCAAAGGACATTTAGTGTGTCTGGTAAAATTATTCAAATTGCAAATGGTAGGTACTTACCAGACTGAAAAAAATCACATAATTTTTAACTAATGGAGAAATGGGTAAATCCTTGCTCTGGATAGTTACATCAGCTTCTCCATACTCTGCTGTTTAAATAATTGTCATTTAAGTTTAGGCTGAACAACATAATACAACTCAATTGGGTTGAACAGGACAAAATATCCAAGCCACATATAAAAGACCAATGGACCAACCAGAATTATCAAGGAAAATTACCCAATATAAGGATATAAGAATAAAAACTTCTAAATCACAGAAAAGTTTTATCAAATTTGTAACCCTTAAGTCCAAAAATCAAGATCGTGAATCTCAGTGACTATGGTCAAGGTCACAAAAATTGCTTATAAAATCATTTGAGGTTGAAAAACATGATCATGTTACTTGTTTAAAATACAGGACTCATGAGACTTAAGAACAGTGCGCTGTTCTCTAAAGTCAACTTATAAACACCACCAAAAACACAGTCCTTGGCATTGCATTAAGACATCAGGTATGGCATCATGTCAACCAACCAAGCATTTTACCTGAAGTTTCCTTTAAAGGTTTTGATTGTCGTTTACTTACTTTCAACACTATATTATCTACCAAAGCATTGCAATATAGCTACTCACGTAGCTAAAGGGGCCTTCATGTCCTTACTTTCGCTTGCATACATCAGTGAAGAAAGCCCCTGTAGGCGGTCTCCAGGAAAACCCAGCAGGTTGATGATTTTGAGCAGGTTTGGGGGCACCATGGATATGCAAAGGTGAAAAAGGCCATATCCAAAGCTCACAGCACCTTTCAGTCTGTTTAGGGACTCCTCAGACACCCCTTCAGCCACAATGTGATTATCATTTGCAGCATCAGAAGTCAAGGGCTCTTCAGTTAGCTTCTTCTGATACAGCTCTTGGAGGGCATTGATGTCCAGATAGCATTTATTGTAAATCTTCCAGGCTTTCCTAAGGATCCACCCACCTTTGATATATGCTATAAAGAGAAGGGAAGAAAAGCATGAAAAAATAACCATTTAAAATAATTTTCCTGTATTAATAATGAGGCTATTCAAGGAGGACCTGAAAAATGAAGCAAAAATTTTAAAAACAATCAACATTATTATCCATCATTGCACTTCGTTTCTTCCTAGGGCTAAAATTCCCTATTTGTTGTCTGTTTCCCTTTACTACACTGGACGACCACTCGGCAAGACCATGTATTTTTTTGTTCATTGTTGCATCAAGCGCCTCATGCAGTAGCTAGGGCATAGTACCTAATATCTGCTGAATGAAAGAATGAAGGAATGAACGCGAGCATGCAAGCATCACTTAAACCCAACTTTTTTCCCATGTGTTCTGTGAAACATGAACCTCCACCGTGTCTCTGAACTACCACGGCACTTTCCTGATAAACCCCTTTTATAACTCTTACATTCGTCTACTCTGTGTCTCATTCCTCCTCAAGAGCAAGTTCTAAGTCTAATTCATTGATAAATTATACCCAAGCACCAAGCATGGAGACTTGCCAAAAAATAAAAGAAGCAAACAAAAAGGATTAATTAATATTTACTGGGTGAACAAAAGGCCAGTTTAGTAACAAAAAACTCATTAGTGTTAACTGCAGAAATGCAAAGAATCCCCAATTCACCTCTATCTAATGCCTATTAGTGGCTTAACCACAGCCTATTAGGAGGGGTTTATTTGGTCTACGACAATGGTGCTTATCCACTGCCCCAGCCTAGAGAGATCCAGCAAAGGTAGGTGGCAAAGAAGAAGCTACTTCACACCAGAGAGTGAATATCCGTTCTTTTTAAAGCCGCGTCCATTATTTCCCATTAAGCCAATTTTTCTTAACACAGTCTTTTTGAGAATATGTGCCACAAAGAAGACTTCAGAGATATGACTTGATGGGATTCACCCTGCTCCATGCCCCATCAGCTCATCTCAGACAAGCCCTCAGGTCCTGCCTCAACCTCTCCTCCCGTGAACATTTTTCTCTTCTGATGTGGAAGCAAAGGGGGAGTCAATTTATCCACGCTTATCTGAGTGCATCATCACCACATATTTAGGAAAAGGTCTTCTGCAGGGAATTTTCTGTAAAATAGGTCTCTTGTAACTGCAGAAGAGAGCTTATCCACTAGGCACTGTTACCAATATGGCACCAATACTCTGACCCCAACGGACAAGTGGAAGACAACATGAACTGTCCTAGGCTTCTGGGCCCTTTAGAACAGCAGGAAAAGAAGTTTTTTTAAAGTTACTTTTAAATTATGGAAAATATTTAACATAAAATCTGATTTATAAAAGTCCAATTCCTGAATCGAAAATGATCTAAGAATATATGGTATGTACTGTACAGGAAAGAGTTAACACAGCAGGCCACTGCTCTCCTTTGAAAGACCTGCTTACAAAGTTGGTCCCTGGATGGCATCTGGGAACTTGGATTTGGGAGGGTTCCCATCATTCCCAGAACTGATAAGAGTGGCTCACTGTGCCTACACCACTTGTTCAAACAATGTTTTATGTTGAACATCTGCTTTCCTTCCGGGAGTCTGGAATTTGGGTATGTGCAAGGCAGTGGGTGCCTAGATGGTGTCTTGACATGAGTACAGCCATGTTTGGCCGCTCCATTGACCTACAGCCACCAGCACAAAAAAGAAATACAAGGCTGCTTTCTGTGTGGTGGGAACTGGCCTTTCCCCGGGAACTGGCCTTTCTCCCACGGAGAGAGTTGCAAGTTGTAACATTTCAAGGCTCTTGGAGCGTCGTAGCCCGGAATGGACTGGCCATCTGTGCCGGGCTGAGACGATAACCAGAGAGAACAATGCACGTACACAACTACTGGGCTGGGACGTTAGCCAGGGGGCTCAGTGCACGTACGCCACTGATAACCATTTTGTGCATGGGAACACTAAATGCTTGCTCTGCAAACTCTGTAGTTGCTTACTCTGAAAATTACTGATGGTATAAAAACTGCTGGAAACTGAGCCCTAGTGAGAGTTCCACCTGTGGAAGGGACACCTTGCCCAGGACGTGTGATCCTTGCCCAGCCGCGTCGATTGACAGAGCTCTCCCGGCAGTGGGGCGTGGATGTTGTGAGTAACTGATTTGATGTGAAGTAATTGATTTGATGTGTTCTCTTTTCGGTTAACCTGGTGTTTCTCTTTCTGGTTGATTTGTGTCATTTCTCTTCAGCCGATGTGGGTATTTTCCCTTTCCAGTCGGGCTGATGTTTTTTCCCTCTTAATATTTGACCTATTTGGATCTGTTTGCAGACTGTCACCTTTACTATCCTCTATATAATAAAATATACCTTCAGTCCATTTGTTTGGAGTGGAAAGTGTCTTTTACGTCTCCGATCGAATCCCCGAACCTCTCATAACAGATGGTCAGCTCCCAATAAAAACTCTAGGGGCTGAGTCTGTAACAAGCTTCTCGAGTTGGTAACATTTTATATGCGTTGTCACAACTCCCTGCCGGGGGAATTAAGCATGTCCTATGTGACTCCACTGGGAGAGGACCCTGGAAAGCTTGTGCCTGATTCTTCCTGGACTTCACTCCATGTGCCTTTTCCCTTCACTGACTTTGTTTTGCATCCTTTCACTGTAACAAATCATAGCCATGCGTGTGATTACATGCTAAGTCCTCCTTGCAAATCACTGAACCTGAGGGTCTTGAGGACCCTCAATCCATGGAATAAAGCTATTATTTTACTTAAACGTATCAATTTTCTGACAAATGATGACCATATCTCCTATGGGATCACAATTCAAAACACAACCATCCCATAAGTCCTGAGTGATTAACATCCTGTAGCCTAAGTCCACTGAAAAGAATGCTATAAGATATGATGAACAAGCAAAACAAATTAGTCTATAAAGGCTTTTTTTTTAAAGGGAACTTTTTCTTATAACTCTATAATTATAAAACTAATACATGTTTGAAACAATCTATTTTCATTCAGTTCAATTTAATAAAAATATTTACTGAGCAAACATGATATTTCAGGTACTGTTCTAAGAGAATCAATCAAAGAGAAATAAGACACAGATCCTGCCTTTAAGAGGCTCAATGACTTTTTCTCTCCTAAATGGAAGCATTATGGGAAAAGAAAGGTTTAAAAAAACCCTGAAACTTTTTTGTATGCTAACAAAGTGGTTAGGTTGATCCAATATGCCCACAAACAAGAAAGATAACTCTCAGTTATGATCCAAAAACCCAAAGATTGAATAGAAAAACAGAAAAAGAAAAAAAAATAGGAAACTAAAATATACATTCTTGAGAACATGAATGCAATTGGGATCTAATTGAAAATAAATAGTCATTGGCTACAGATTAAAAAAATGAAAAACAGGGGCTGGCCCAGTGGCATAGTAGTTAAGTTAGCGCGTTCTGCTCCGGCAGCCCGGGGTTCACTGGTTCGGATCCTGGGTGCGGACTTACGCACTGCTCATCCAGCCATGCTGTGGCGGCATCCCATATGCAAAATAGAGGAAGACGGAAACAGATGTTCCCTCAGAGCCAATCTTCCTCCACAAAAAGAGGAAGATTGGCAAGAGATGTTAGCTCAGGGCCAAGCTTCCTCACCAAAAAAAAAACAAAAAGAAAAGAAAAAGAAAACTTGCAAAACCCTAAAAATGTTAATCAGATACTGATTAAGTTCCTATTACGTGCCTAGGACTGTGCTTGGTGCCTGAGGGATACAAAAGAACTATAAGACATAATCTCAGCCCTCTAAATGCCCACGATAAAATCAGAAAATAAAACAACTGAAAAAAATAAGTGTGCAGCATAAGACTATATATATCTATACATTTTTTATATGCTCCATTGGGTCATATATGAAAGAATGAAAACAAATAATGTTGAGATTATGGGTGAATTGTTCTTTTTTATTTCCTTTTTGTCATTAAATTGTTTTCTATGTAATAAAATAAATAAATTAGAAAATGCAAAAATAAGTATTGCAGGATTTCAGTAGAAAAATTTACTCCCTCCCACCTCCAACCATAACTGGAAATTTGGAAGGAAAAAATGTAGCTCCACTTTATCCTGTATTTTCCAGGCAACAATAGCTTTATAGCATTTAGGGAAAGGCAGCATTCCAGGAGAGAGGAACAGGAGTGTGAGTATGAAGATACAGATGGGCCAGCTGTTCAGAGGCAGAGGAGACACATGGGAAAAAGGGAGTAGGGGTGCTGCGCTCAGGTTATGGAGGTCCCTAATGTCCAGCTGAGGAATGGACACCCACACAGGAGCAGCAGGGAATCTCTAAGACTGGGGTTGAAGGGACTAGTGTTAGGGAAACAGACTGTAGTAATCCAGATCTCAGGTGAGGAGTTACAGAAAAGGATGATAGCAATGGAAACAAACATAAAAATCCATCATGCCAACTGCATGGATCTCAGTTAACAAAACAAAATGAAAAACAACATGGTAAAAACCCCATTTTTATGGAATGAAAATGAAATTAATTCAACATGTCTTTAATTTCTTGCCTAAGATAGGAGCTTAGGTGCCAATGTTGAAAAGCACACATTAAAGTCTATTACAAGCTGTAATGCCCTTAATTTGAGCCAGGTAAATAGAACCCAAAGTTTTGACTAAGTCAAAGTTTATAAACTGAAATATGTGCAAAACAAAGTTAATACACATGAAGAGAGAGATTTTGTTTTTCCTACTTTCTAAGTTCAACTTGGCACTGAAACAGATTCCCCAGGACTCGCCCTACTCCCAATCCCAAACACTGTGACTGAAACATCTGAGCACAGCCAGACCCCAAGTGGAGGAGCAAATGCGGAGTGAGGACCAGACAGAGAACCTGAACCAGGACCCTGCTGTGTGCTCCAAGGCAGACAGCACCACAGCTCCCACAGCGGGGAAGCTTAGTCAGTCTGACATAGCACTGAGGCCGGTGAGCACACATCTTTCCAACAAGCAGAGAAAACAGGTGAATACAGAGCCTTCTGAAAGGTCAAATATAAATCATTCAGCCATCATTATCTGTGTGTGTGGAGGACGGCACAGCGAGCAGAAAAAAACCACAAACCATTTGCCCTCCCCGATTAGGGCCAGCCTCAATCAGCTGGGAGATGGAGAGGGGATAGGAAACCCCATCCCCATAACTGGGGTGGGAGACCTTCCTGGGCAAGGGCAAGAGTCGTTTGGAAAATGAAATATCAAGTTACACTACATTGATCTTGGAACAAATTTTGCAGATTTTTCAGCAGGGATCGTGTCTGGTAAGAGCTCCTACCATAGCCTTCTATCTGTTCACTTGTCCTAGAGGAGGCTGGTATAAACCGTATAATGGAAGGGAAGTTCAGGCTTGCCTTTCTTGTGACCCACATAATAGACTTTGAAAGAAAAAAAAGATGATTTAGCTTTCACTAGCCAGCCTACCTCCTCATTACTCTCTTTACCTCCAGTCAACAGACTTCTAATAGACTCACTTCTCCAATCCCAGCTCTTCTCGGGGCTGAATATCATGCATCTCTTTCCTGAATGGCAGCACCCTTCCTCCATCCCCCACTTTAAGCCACATATCACACACCCACAAGGGGTTAGGCAAAGGCAACCTATCAGGTGTCAGGGACACAGAGAAGAAAATGGACATCCATTCTCTATGACCCTGCCCAGGGACAGGACCAGGGATCCTTGACCTTCCCAGGCTCATTACCTGTGCAACCTCTATGACTAACTTATATGTCTACTGGTTAAAATATCACCCTGAATTATAATTTATTTACTCCTCTTTCTCCCCTGCTACACCACGCCCTGTCAAACCATCAGTTCCCTCAGCAAGAGCTACATCTCATTCATCTCTAGACCATTAGCATCTCTCAGCTCACAGTGTCTGACACATAGGAAGTGCTCAATAAACGTGGGGAAAAAAGACAGCAGGCAGATACAGTTCCTGCCCTCAAGGAGTTTACAGTCCAATACCGTGGGCAGACATGTAAATAAAATGTGTATTGCTGTGTGACAAATGCTCTAACTAGCTATGTACAGGGTACACGTAGAACAACAAAGGCCAGATGATGACGTCAGTGAGGAAGGAGTACAAGAAGGAAGTTGGCCTGGGCTGCACCTGGATAGGCAAGAGAGAAAAATAAAGGATTGCGGGAGGCAGGCATTACACACTGAGAGGGTAGTACACACAAAAGCATGAGGCAGCAAAGGGCATTCAGGGCACTGCAAGGAGCTCTGCTGAGCTGGATGATGCAGTGGGAAGAAGGCAGGGAGGCTGGGAAGGGGGGCAGATTCTTACATGTCACCAGAGGAAGGAATCTGGACTTCACCTTGTGGGTGATACAGAACAGCTAAGTGTTTAAAGCACACGTGTAACAAGTTTTGGAAAGATAGCTCTAAGGGCACCGTAGAGAATGTGGCCTGGAGAAGCACGTGAGTCAACAGCAGGCTGTTGTACTTACTATTCTAGGGGCTTGGTCCACAGGACGTAAGGAGCAAGCAGGCTTGGGGGTTGAGGGAAAACGCCCTGAGAAACCCAGGTTTCCGGGCCATCTGGAGGGTGGTGGCTCAAGTAACCGAACTCAGGTAATGGGAAAATGGTGCAAATACTAGGAATTCAGGTATGAAATAAGAAATCCATGGCTCAGGTCCTGGTTCTGTCAGCACTAACAAGCTGTGTAAATTGTTCAACCACAACCAAATCAATCAGCCTCAAACTGCCTCACCTGTAAAATAAAGACAATCATCTCATTTGAGGAAAATTTATTGAGCATACATTATGCCAAGAATAGTAAGACATGGGGCCTATCTTCAAATCCAAAAGGAAATAAAGGAAACATAATAAAACAAGGTGGCAAGTGCCATAAAATAGGTTTTAAAAATAACTTCATTTTGTTACAAAGAAAATTAACATGCTCACTGCAAAAAAAAAAAAAAAGCCCCTGAACAATAGAGCAAATTAGAAAGATACTTATAAAGCAGTACAGAAAAATGAAGAGAGATGATGGGACAATTCATTATCAAGAGGTTTAAATAAGATAAAGCACAAGAGCTCTTTTAAAAGTATGAAGCATTAAAAAATTCACACAGACTCATCCCTAATTGGTGCTCAGGTCAGCATGTGTGCCCTCACCCACTTTTCTGCCACCCACTCAACAGGTAGGGGAGGGGCACCTATAACAAACTTCTCCAAGAAGAAGGTTTTTTCCCAAGAAAATTATCCATCAAAAACGTTTTCTAAGAAATGGATCCCAACAAAGATGTAAATACATTTTTTACGGCTTAATAACCCTGTGGGTTTCTGAAAGGCAAATGATGCACGTTTTTGGCTATGTTTGTTTAAAACAAATACTGAGCTATTCATAAAGCAAATGACCACTACATACATTTATGAGAACCTGAGGTTTTCATATCTGTCAGAATTTCATTTTAATATCAATATCACATTCAATAAACTATATGGCTTTAGGAAGAGGCCAACCATTGCTAAAAATCTATGATAAACAAGATTAAATAACTGATTAATATCAACCTATTAGGAGAATGGGTAAAGGCCATGAAGGTAATTTGTGAAAGAAATACGGTTTATGTTTAAAATGTAAAAATAGGTTTAGCTCCACTAATCACCAAAAAAAAAAAAAACAAACAAAACAAAGCCCACTTGAATTCGCAAGAGGAATTGGTTAAATAAATTACGGCACGTTCATATGATAAATTAAAATGCTATTATTTAAAATTATATTTTGAAACTGAGTTATAGGGAAAATATGTAAAATATAATCTAAGAGGGAAAAGTAGGATCAAAACACTATAGATTCAATTTTGTAAGAAAAAATATAGAAATATATAGAACATAAGCAATAAAGAGTGATTTTCTAAGGGGTGAGATTAGAGATAACTTTCTTTTTCACTTTTCCATATTTTCCAAATTTTCTATAACAATATTTAGTGATTTTAAAAATAAATAGTACCAACTGATGATTCTAAATTTCATGAGGGCAAGGACCATGGCCTGTGTTTGCTCACATAACATAGTGCTTAGCACACTGTATATGCTCAATCCTTATTTGTTAAACAGACTAATGTATGAACAAATGAAGGACAGATATAGATATACTCACTTTTAAAATTCTGATATGCTTTCAGACTTACAGAAGAGTTGCAAGATTAATACAAAGAAGTCCAAGATGCCCTTCACCATGATTCCCCAAACATTTTACTATATTTGGTGTATCTTTCTCTCTCAACAGATATTTTCTTAATGGCTAAAATCAGCTCCCTAAAAAAGTCCTTGAGTATAGGAAAAAGTACTACAAGACCACAGAAAATGCCAGAGCTCCTGTCTTGACCCAAGAGGTCCAGATAGTTCCGCTGCTCTTTTGTATATACATCAGTGTGGAGCTCCAAATGGGGGGTTTCAGATTAGTGTATTATAGAAAATTCATATGAACTATGAGCCCTTGACCATATAAATAAGTAATTGGGAGAGTCCTAAGATGAGGAGCAAAGAGGAAAAAAAAACCCTGAACCAAAGTAAAAGGCCAAATACAATCATAGAACATACTTAAAAAGAATGATAAATTTTAAGAAGTCCAAATTTTGGAGGTCAAAACAATAAATTCCACTTTGACTTGAGCCAAATAGAAACAACGTATCCTCAAGGATAAGATGGAGAGAGAAGAGAATTGAAGAGCAGAGAAGAGAAGAGAGGAGATGAGAACAACAGATAAGAGAGTAAAGAGGGAAAAACTAGTTTCTGGGAGTCCAGAAAGAAAAGTGTATATTATAACTTAGCAGCAACATACCCTTCTTCATTTAAGATTTGGAAGAAAATGCTTTTCTGATTGTAAATTTAATTGACTTCCTTTTCTTTCCAAGTAAATCCTATCTACCAAAGTGGCAGGTATCTGCTGTCAGTATGAGAGACACATAATTACACAAGCGAAAGAATCAGTGTCAATGTTAGACACAGCCTTACAGCAAGCTATTAGAGACTCAATTTGAGTCTATACCACTCAAGATACTAAAGCTACAAAATCCTGGGAAACATTTATCTTGGACAAACTAACTAAAAAATTAGTTTCTCTCTCTCGCTCAAGGTTGTTAAAACATAGATCATTCAAGTACATTAGAAAATCTTTAGTACATGCTCAGGACTTCAATAACAATTTCCTAAAAAACTTAAATTTAAACCAGTTATATTTCACTTCAAAGGTTATCATCACAACTTGATTCCCACAAAGAAAAAAATATCTATTTATATAAAAGGCACTGGTAATTTCTCTAAGTATGACCAAATTATCTTGAGACAAGAGGATGAAACACAGACTGTAGCACTAAAACTACTCCACTAAACAAACAATAAGCACTTGTGGTTTCAATTTTCTCAAGTAATAAATCAGTATCATGCCCCAAAGAGGTGCCACATGTTTTCAAAGACTGAAATACCAGGCATTCTAAAAAAAGTATTACCAATGGTGTCCACTGAACAGCGAAGGCTGTTAAAAAGAAGGCTCCAGCATACCTGATAATTCTTGCTTTACAAACGAGAGCACAGCCAAGTAAACTTGACAGTCGGCTATGATTATCTGCCTCTGGAGCCGATCAACCATAGAGGGGGCAGATTTGCGGACATCAACCTGTTTGGTGGAAAGAAAGCACACACCAATAAATCACACACAAGAACAATACTCCTTTGAAACAACTATTACTTTACTGTGCAAAATAATTTCGCATAGGAATTGTGAAACACGGCAGTCACCGAAAGCCATGAAACACGAAAGTCAATACAGAACTTCACGGTTTTACCCTTTTGTATTTTTATTTTTTTATTACTATTTTTTTTGGTGAGGAAGATCAGCCCTGAGCTAAAATCCGATGCCAATCCTCCTCTTTTTTGCTGAGGAAGATTGGCCCTGAGCTAACATCCGTGCCCATCTTCCTCTACTTTATATGGGATGCTGCCACAGCATGGCTTGACAAGCGGTGCGCCAGCGCGTGCCCGGGATCCGAACCTGTGAACCCCAGGCTGCCGAAGCGGAGCGCACACACTTAACTGCTGCACCAGCCAGCCACGAGTTTTACCCTTTTATAAAATCCTTACTTATTCAAAATAAAAATCACTAAAGGTACAAAACATTCCCCAAAGTAGATAACCTGAAAAGCCACTTTGCAACCATCTACCTCCAGGTGGGACTCATGTCAGCATTCATTTCTTTGGTGCATGCAACTGAGATGCAGGATCAAAATCTGATTACATTTTAGTTAAGGAGAAAATTAGCTGGAATTAAGGAGAAAACTCTGGAATTAAAAATTAGCTTTGAATAAATCAAAAATTGAACTTGAAATTTAAGTCATAACCTCTAAGGTGACTACCTCCATAAAATAAACAAAAGGTAAATCCAAAAAGTCCCACTTCTTATAAAATGTTGGTCTTCATCGAAAAGAATGTTTCTAAATGAAGAAAAATCACTCAAATAGACTACTACATCCTTAATACAAAGTAAAGTTGAACAAAATAAGCTAAATAGCTTTCATATGCAAACGATATAAGAAATGATGGGATTTCTGCAAATATGACCACAGTATACACAGTATACACAACACAATGACCTGCTTCCCTTTTTTCTAGAGGAGCCCAATTCATCACGGTCAACTGCTGTTCCATATCTCACCACAGCATTGGTTACTCTGTTTGCTTCGGCAAATCTCAATTTATTGATGCTTCTGTTTCTTTGTTTGTAATAACGTCTACCGTGCAGGGTTCTTGGAAGGGCTAATGAGATAGCACCGCACATTGCATGTGAAAATGCTTTTTAAATTGCAAAGAGGTATTAATCATATTAATATTGTATAATTATAATTAATTATTAACATATGTGCTAGGCATGGTACTAGATACCGAGGACAGACACGTAAACAAGCTTACAGTCTAAGGAGGGAATACTGATCTTATGACCACGTAATGTAATAAGTGCTCTGCAGGGTAAAGTGCAGGGAACTATGGAAACAAGCAGGAGCCATACTCAACAGGGCGTGGGGGCTCAGGCAAGAGTCCTTGGAGGAAATGACGTCTAGGAGGAACTAAAGAATGAGTAGGGAACAGGTCAAGGGGGAGGAGAATGTTCTAGGCATTAGCCACAGTAAGGAGTTTGGACTTTATTGCAATGGCAATGACAGTGGGCGGGGACATGGAAAATGAAGCCAGCACATGTTATTTGCATTTTAGTGACTGTATCATGGAGAATGAATTAGAGAACAGTGAGACCGGAGGGAGAAGTGCCAGTGAGGGTTGTCTTAGCCAACTGGAGATGGTGGCTGACCCAGAGAAATGGCAGTGAGGATGGAGAGAAGCAGATGAATTCAGGAGGTATTTAAGAAAGAGAGTCAACAGGACTCGGTCATTGATTGGATTTAGGGTTTGGAGAGAAAGGAATCATGGAAAACTCGGGCCCTTCTGGAGCATCAAGTACTCTTGGCCCATCAGTGGCTTCCTCTTGGTGGACACCATAAGCAAACGCAGAGGTAAAGCAAGCTGGCTTGACATGAAGGAGCAGGAGAAAAGACATGGCGGCTTTTGATGACTATAACCAACAGACTGGTTTGTCAGCTAAATATGTGACACATGTGAGACCCCTGGGCACTCCAGAAATATCAGGGAAGGAGGATGCCTCTCCAAAGCCTAGAACTTCTGCATTGAAAGGTGAAAGCAAAATCAGGAAAAGTGAATTATGATGTAACTGTGACTTTATTTGTAACCAAACGCTGGTGAGGCCTGTGTAAAAGTAGGTAAACAGCTGACTTCCCTAATTATGCCAAAATGCAACATATTCGCATTACATACACGTATATGAAAGCCTCATTACAAAAGCCCTTGTCACATGGCCCATTATGGAAGAAGATAATTTTAAGACACCAAAAGAGCATGCAGTGAATGGCTCTAATGACTGGAGGGAGCTTCTATTGTTTTAAGAAATACCTCTTACATAATCAAAAGGCTTAAGAAACATTTAGTGTTTTCAGTCATATCCTAAATACTAAAAACCAAGAAAATGAGCCATGTTCTACATAAGTGGCAACACAGTTGATAACCTAAAGACACAGTACTCACGTTCTTCTTAATTTTGTTCTTGATTGTTTCAATTACTCCAGCCTCTTCACTTTCGCATAGCTTTTCTGTAGTTTTCAAGTCATCACATGCCAATTGCATTTTTTCTTCCTCAAATGTCATCATGGCATTCTTCCAAGAAAGAAATAAGGAAAGAAGAAATGAATCAGAAAATGTTTGAAAATTTAGGCCAATTTATTACAACAAAACTCCAAACTAGGGGAAAAAAACATTTAAATTATTAGAGTCAGACTGAGGAGTCCTAGAACATCAAGGTAGTGCTAGCTTAACATGATAAGGAATGGAGAGCTGGATAGTGAGTTCATTAGGTCCGTCCAGGAACTCACTATCTTGTCTCTCCAGGTTGCAAGTAAAAGAACCAGAATGTTACAGCACACACTTTAAAAAAACTATAATCTCAGTATGAAATCAGAATATACCTCTATTACACCAGCATGAAAAACTACATGATCATAAATGTTACTGCAGTTCCGGCTCTACAATATTTTTTGTTATTAAACACAGTAACAAAAACCCTGTATAATTTCTGATTGGTCCACTTAATTCGTTTTTATAACAGAGTCTCACTGAAAAGTCCATTCTACCCACACACGGATCCCTGGCTCCATCAAGTAGTGCACAAAAACGCCAATGAAACAACAGCTAGGAGGTGCTCTTCGAAAATCATCAGTCTTTTCAGGGACAGCAATTCCAATGAGTCCACTTAATAAGGAACTCTTTTTATATTGTCCGCAGTGAAAGATTCCACTGACAGCTTGTTTCCAAGCACTTCATTCTGGTAGATATTTTCAGGCCACATTTGACCAGGGAGGGGCAATCCCTTCTCTGCTAAAAACCTGCTATTCTCACCCAGTAGAACCGAGGTTACCGAGATGAATGGGCTACAGGGACAAAGAGACACCAGGTTCTTGGAAGGACCGAATGAACTCAGTGTATCTAGCTTTCCATTCCTTATCACATTCAGCCAGCACCACCGTGGCATTCTAGGTCTCCTCAGTATGACTCTAACCTACTCTCTGTCCTAGCCAAACCAGACCACAGCCACCTGTGCCCAAGTCTCCCCTCCACACTCTTCTTCACAATCAAATTCCAACCCTGCCAGGGCCTCTTTCCCACCCTCTCCTCCACCCAGCCAAGCCTTTGCTTGTGCCTCCCTCAGAGCCTTTGTAGTTACGTGGGAACTCATGCTAGGATCCCTACCCAGCACCACTTTCCTTAAGACTGAGAACTGTTTTCTTGCAAACAGTAGGTCTTAAAAATTTTGTTGTATTGTCTGGCAATAAGAGGAAATAAACAGCTTGAACGAAAATCCATGTCACCAGAAGCAGGCGTGCTGCCTGTGGTTGGGTGCTGCCAGGCTGCGCACGACATGCCGACATGCCCATTTGCTGACATCTTTCTAAATCTGGAATCTAAATGCTTTCTCCATTTAACTTCTCTCAGTCTCTACTCATGATATTTTTTTTTTTTTTTTTTTTGCTGTGATACAATTCTATGATGGTTTTTAAAAAAACTACATGTTTGAAAGTAGTTTATGTGATAAGTGTTTCTGAAAAATAAAAGCATCCGATTTTCTACATTGCCCAATTTACTTTAAAAATCAACTACAACCTATTCCCTCAATTCCTAAATATTAATATTTGAAAATGTAATAGTAACCGACAAATTTTAGCTTTGCTAATTTAACTTGTCTTCCAGTTTATACTTACTCAATAATTTTAGAGCAAACCTTTATCATCCAAAGTCTGACCTTTTTTGTTTTTTTTAACTCTAATGCAGTTTTAATTTTTGGACAAGACTTTCAATTACATTTTTATTTTAAAAAGGATTTTGGTTGGGAAAAACTTAATACTCTAGAAGTAAGGTATAAGCATTTTGTTTTTAAAATTAGGGAAGAGAATCTAGATATATCATAGGTGTTGGTTAACAGGCAAAAACTTAATTCCAGTTTTAAACTCTAAAAGATCTGTATCTATACAGCCAGTAGCCACTAAATCATATACTTTATACATTTGTTTCCTTCATGCCAATACCTCTCCCCACATCAACTTACCAAAAAACTGACAAAGCTGGCTCCAAAACTCATTAATGGGCTATGATTTCTGTTAAGGAAACAAAACAAAGTTATTTTTATTGTAAACTGTCACTTTAAAAACATTTGATATCCCTTATATCAGGATCAAGATATATTCCTAATAAATGGATAGAAGTTAAGGTCTTCAAGCCGATTAAATCACCCTAAAAAAAAAATTTAAAGAGGCAAGGAGGTTCACAGGTCTGTCTGCCAGGATAGAATCTGCCCCTGGTCCTTCAAAGCAAGGTGAACAAGAATGTCCAATTATAACAGAGACGGTCTCAGTAAACCAATCTGACATCTACAAATGCATGGCCAAAGGAAGATTATTAATATTCATTTTTAAAATGCAAGATGTGTTCAAAACTTTATACACATAAAATATGTATCATTTTTTAGAGTAGATCAAAGGATTTTACCACTGAGCCAGATCTCAAAAACTCACTTATCCCATCCAAAGAACTTTAAGAACACCTCCCTAGGGTCAGTCATTCCCCACCGTAATACACAGTCATTATCCAATTTTACGTGTAAGCCAAGTATGAAACCAAATCAAACTAATAGCAATTCAAAAAATATAAGAATATAAACTTGCTGCTTCAAATTCACAACCAGTACAAAATCCAAATCTCTGTAAATCACACTAAGAGAGCAAGCAAGTTACGATTGCCTTCCTAAAGAAAAATAATTTTACTGACTTTTTATTATGTAAATAATACATGATCATTATAAACAAGGCAAGAACAATGCAGTCAATCCCCTACTGGAAATTCAGTTTGTGTCCAAAGTGAGTGTGTGTGTGTTGCGGGGGTGGGGAGCGGGTATGGGTAGGGAGAACACGCACATTTATCTGGATCTATGTACATGTATATGCACACACATACCCAATGCTCACATGAACATCTTTGTACATACGTCTTTGCAGGCAAGTCCAAATATGTTCTTGGGATAAATTGCTAGATGTAGCATTGCTGAGTCAAATGGTATGCACATCCATTTTCCTCTGGGAGTGATATGTGTGTGTCTATGTGTGTGGGGGGGCAGGCGGAGGAGGGAGGATCAAAAACTCAATTTATTTGGAATGTTAATCTTCTGCTACAATTTTTTTCCCATCTACTCAGTACCTACTCAAATTCTAGAGTGAATAATAGCTTGTTTACCCCTACTTAATAAGATACTTAAATCTACAAGAAAAAAATTAGGAATGTCAACTCACTGTGAAGAACCCCCCACCAGCTCTCACACCCATAAACCTGGCTCAAACAGCACATCTCACAGCACACTGCACCAGAGCAGATGTTAGGTCTCCCATTCCACAGCTCTACCTAGAATACTACCTAGAATACCAGTATAGGCTCCCACTCTATTATTATTACTTGGTTTGCATGTCGGTGTCCCCTCTAAAATGTTATTTTCAGCCTCATATCCCTCATCATCATGCCTTACACACAGCATGCATTCAACAAGTATGCATCAGTGAAGGAATGAATGACACAGAACTCTGCCTTTCAGGAGACACATTTCCATTAAGCGCTGATTAGGATGGCTTTCCCCTATTTTCCCCTTACATGATAACCACTTTGCCATTTGAGAAATAAAAGAAGCTTAAATTAGGGCCTAGTGTTGCTACATTTGCTCCTTGTTCTTGACTAAAATTAGGTTTCTGAGAGCCATGCCTATTAATTATTCACGGTACCCTAGCCTAGCCCTTAGTAGTTCACATACCATCTTATCACTGAAGTGAAAAGCCAGCCAAATGGAAACATTTTTCTCTCCTTGAGGTACTGTCTCTGTAAACCCCACAGCACTGGGTACATTAGACACTCCATAATGAACTGGTCCATATGCAGGTATCCTCTTACATGCTGCACACTACCCAGTGTTATAAGAACTTAATCCCTCAAGCTTCACTTGTTTAGTTCACTCGATTTTTTAACTCAACGTACTTCAAGTGACCCTACATTAATTTAACTCATCTTAATCAATTTTGGCCAACACGTGTTTCTACATAAAACTTATTCATTTTGGAGATTTGGAAACGTTCTCAAAGAGTAAAAGGATCATTAGTTCAAAACTGATGCTAAGGGAGAAGGAAGAAGCTCCTAGCTCACTTCAATATGCTTATCTTAGGAACCAATAAAGAGTGATCAAAACACAAGGGGAGTGAGGGTATTATGTAAAGGTTGAGTATAAAGACAAGCATCAGAACCAAAATACAAACCTTTCTAAATACCAGAAACACAAGGAAGAAAGTGGTGGCAAGTGAAACAGACCACACAGTGAAAACCTCAATTAAAAGAAGGGAGGATATATACATATTCGCTGATATTGAAAGAAACGATGGTAGGATAACCCACCGAGTTGTGTAAAAACTGGATACCTACAAAGTGAGAGAGGGAACAGGGACAAAGAAACAAAGATTGGAACGAAGCTTCTTTGTATGTACTTTGTTGTGTAGATTTGACTTTGGAACCATGTAAATGTTCTACATCATAATAATACCAAATTAAATTTTAATAATGTAATGTCTAAAAATAAAAACTAAAATGAATTACATGTACTTAAACGCAAAGCCAGTTGGTAACATAACCACACAACATAGAACGTTTAAAAGTCACAGAGTGACTTTAAAACTCAGTAATCTGACAGCACATCTCTATTATGAAATACCTTTGCCATCTTTTGCCACCAAAAGACGGCAAAAGAAACATTTAATTTGTTTTCAGTAATCATATTCCTACTAGTCAAGTTGTAATTGTTATTCTAAGGCTGCTGGGTATGCAGTCTGTGATAAAGCAGTGCACAGGTATGTTGGTGTTTGTTGAGATCCAGGATTTTGTGCTTAGGAAAAAAGATAAAGTTAGTCAAAAATCTTAGAGTCCAGAATACAAACAGGAAAATCAATGCAAACTCATTGGATTTTTTATAATAAAAATACATCTTTTCTAGCTCTGTCTAGAAAAAGCCCAGAAACAATGACCACCCAGTAGCATTGAGCATGCCTAGCACCTTCCCTAAATACATTAAGTAAGAGACCATGGCTCCTTGAAGAAATGGGTGATTCCAGGTCAGAGTAAAGAAATGTTCAAGAGCCTGGAATATCTTGCTATAGTAGAAAGCAAAGTTATAAAAAATACATTAGGGTCTTAAAGAGGTTCCCACTTGCCAAACATGGAAAAATTTGATCACCAATGAGGCTAAAAAACAGCAATGGATTGAAACACCAAGTAAGTTTAAACCATGAGTTCATAATGAACTCTTTTTTAATTTAAAAAAAAAAAAGAAAACAACTTCACTGGTTGCCTATGGAGAATCCTAGAGAACCAACTCATTATTTTGAAAACTGATAACAAGGGGAAAGAAAAAGCATTTACTCACTCTGCCTTTTCTCTATGAACTCGGAGTAATTAGTGGAGAGGAGGGTTTTCTTTACAAAAATATCCTGGGCTAATAAACGAAAAGCAAATGATAGAATCAGAGCATCTCATTTTGCCGATCTAATGAATTAATGGATATGGGCGGTGACCATAGAGACAGGAACATATTAAATACCATGCTGATACAATCAGCAAAATCCAAGCTGTGGGGAATTCTACAGGGCAAAAATGCTAGTTTCTTCAACAACAATATAAAAGTGTATGGGGAAAAAAGAGACTGAAAGGGAATCTCTAAAATAAAAGGTATACAAAACAACAGACACATATGAGAGACATATAAAACAACAACAAATATATATACATACACATATACACACACAAATACATAAACACACACGTACACACACAACAGCAACAATTAGAAAACGAAACTTAAAAATTATCATTCATGATAGCACCAAAATATTCATTATCTAAAGATAAATCTAAAAAAATGTGCAATATCCCTACACTGAAAACTCGAAACATTACTAAGAAAAATTAAAGACCTAAATCAGGGTTTCTCAATAGTGGCATTCTTCACACTTTGGGCTGAATAAGTCTTTGTTGTGGGGGCTGTCCTATGCGTTGTAGGACACTGAGCAGCATCCCTGTCCCCCATCTAGAAGATGCCAGAAGCACACAGTCACTCCCCCAAAGATGTGAAAACCAAAATGTCTCCATTCATTGCCAAAGGTCCTCTGGGGGCAAAATTGACCCTGGTTGCGAACCACTAACCTAAATACAGAGATATACAATTCTCATGGATTGGAAGGCTCAATATTGCTAAAATTTTAATTTCTCTTAAACTGAACTATAGCTTCAATGCAATCCCAAGCAAAATCCCTGGTGCGTGCGTGTGTGTGTGTACGTGTGCGTGTGTGTTTTGAAAAGTTGATGCTAAAATTTACATGGAAAAGCAAAATACTTAGAATGGCCAAATCAAATTTAAAGAAGAATAACAAAGCTGGAGATCTACATTACCTGATATCAAAACAGTTAAAATTAAGAATTTCTGTTCACTCATAAGAGATTGAAAAAGGCAAATCACAGACTAGGAGGAGATATTTGCAATACACATATCCAACAAAGAGCTCATCTTCAGAATATATAAAGAACTCACGTGAATCAGTTTGAAAAAAAACTGACAACCCAGTAAAAAATGGGCAAAAGTCTTGAATAGGCACTGCACAAAAGAGAATATCCAGAAGTCAATAGGCATATCAAAAAGTGCTGAAAAGCATTCATTATCAGGGAAATAAAAATTAAACCCACAATGAGATACCACTATACTCTCATCACATTGGCCATACTTATAAGGACTGACAATACCAAGTGTTAGTGAGGACGGGAAGCAACTGGAACTCTCATATATTGCTTAGCAATATCCTAAAACTAAACATATGCCTGCTCTATGATCCAGTAACTTCACTCCTGGGTATATATATACACAATAGAATTGAATTATTATGCCCCCAAAAGACATGTATAGTATGTTAATAGTAGTGTTATTCATAGTAGCCTCACACTGAAAACAATTCAAATGTCCATCAACAGTAGAATTGACCAAATAATTGCGGTATATTCATTCAAAGGAATAGCTCACAGCTAC